CAGGGTTTCTCTGTGTAGCTTTGCGCCTTTCCTGGAACTCACTTGGTAGTCCAGGCTGGCCTCGAACTCACAGAGATCCTCCTGGCTCTGCCTCCCGAGTGCTGGGATTAAAGGCGTGCGCCACCACCGCCCGGCCTATATATGTATATCTTAAGCATGGTAAATAAACCTTAAACGCGATGTTAGCCATCACAACTCAGGAAAGCTGGAAACCTGGAGCAACTAGCAGGCAGCTCAACAGACTGAAGAGTGTCCTTTCTGCTGGTCTGGGCCTCTTCCAAGCAGCTCTGTGTGTTTCTCAGCGGTCCTTACTGCTTATACAAGATTAGGGATGGAGGGACCTAGTGAATCTGGTTAGTTTCAGGGACTGCCTGAAGCTTCTGAGTTGTTTACTCTTAATCCTGAAAATTGAGAAACACCAGTTCCAAAATTTTTGAGCCAAATTTGAAGCAAGCTTCAATTAGATACTGGCCAGGATGATGGACTCAGGCCAGGTCTATTCCCAGGTTCCCGGGAATGGCAACAAGTCACATTTTGATGAGTCTTACAAAGGCACAACCACAATGCTGCCATATTTCCAATTGGGTTCAATGAGGCAATCATATTCTGACATATTTCCTGCCCGCATACCTCCCACCCATGTGTGATCAAGCACATCCAGTACAGAGGGGTCAAATACACACAGGGCAAACAGGAACTCATTCTTAACTGTCTTAACTGCAAACAGAACCCTTAACCTGCCAGGTCTGTTTTCCCTGTTTTGGTCTCACATTAACTTGCAAGGTGTATTGTTCTTGTTCCTGTTCTGGTCTCACATTTACTTCTGGAGTCTTAAGGAGCCTCCTGTTGAAACATCCTGTGACTTAAGGAGCGTCCCTGAAGGACGGAATGTATCAACTCACAGGTATTGTTATACAATAATGACAAAAACCGTCTACAAAGTATCTGCAACTGGGCAGCCGGGTTGGATGGGCCCCTGGTAGCCCAGTGTTCTGTAGACCTTGAAGTCTGTATCAATAACCATGTTTAGTCTAAAGAAGGGTTGTATAAGGGAGGCAGAGGCAGGCGGACCTCTGTGAGCTCGAGGACAGCCTGGTCTACAGAGGGAGATCCAGGACAGGCACCAAAACTACACAGAGAAACCCTGTCTCGAAAAACAAACAAACAAACAAACAAACAAACAAACAAACAAACAAACAAACAAAAGAGTTGTATGTAGCCTGGGAGAAGGGTAGAATATATCCACTCCACCAAGGTGTCATACCTGACTGTCGTGAGTCTAGCTGCTGGGTGAGGGCATGGCTGAGGGGACAGAGGTGAGGTAAGGCTGCAAGGCCAAGAGAGTGCCTCAGTCAACAATGTGTGACCCCTTCCCAACCCAAATGTTTCAGGGGCCGGGAGCCATCTCCTGTAGGGCCTAGGAGGCTCCAGAAACTTCCTCTCACACATAGTATCCACTTGAAACCAATATTTCCAGGTGGGTGGTGTGAGGCTGTCTTAGTCAGGGTTTCTATTGCTGTGAAGAGACACCACGACCACGGCAACTCTTATAAAGGAAAACATGTAATTGAGGTGGCTTGCTTACAGTTCAGAGATTCAGTCTATTATCACAGCATGCAGGCAGACATGGTGCTGGAGAAGTAGCTGAGAGTCCTAGGTCTTTTAGGCAACAGGAAGTGGTCTTTCTCATTAGGTGTAGCTTGAGCATATATGAAGTCTCAAAGCCTGCCTCCACAGTGACACACTTCCTCAAACAAGACCACATCTACTAATAGTGCCATTCTCTTTGAAGGCTATTTTCTTTCAAACCACCAAATTCTACTCCCTGGCCCCCAAAGGCCTGTAACCATATCATAATGCAAAAATGTATTCAATCCAACTTCAAAAGTCCCCATAATCAGCCAGGCGGTGGTGGCGCACGCCTTTAATCCCAGCACTCGGGAGGCAGAGGCAGGTGGATCTCTGTGAGTTCGAGGCCAGCCTGGTCTACAGAGCTAGTTCCAGGAAAGGCGCAAAGCTACACAGAGAAACCCTGTCTCGAAAAACCAAAAAAAAAAAAAAAAAAAAAAGGTCCCCATAATTTATCACAGTCTCAAACTTATTTAAAAGTCTAAAGTTCAAAGTCTTTTCTGAGATTTATGCAATCTCTTACTTTCAACTTATAATGGCACAGGATATACAAAACCATTGCAAAACATGGGAAAGGGAGCACAATGAGGAAATACTGGACTAAGGCAAGACCAAAAACCAGCTGGGCAAACTCTACACTCTGCCTCTCCAGGTCTGATGTCAAAGTGCTCTTCAGATCTCCAACTCCTTCTGCTTTATTGACTGCAGCACACTTCTCTCTCGGGCTGGGTCCACTCCCTGTTAGCAGCTCTCCTCGGCAGGTGTCCCATGGCTCTCCAGTATCTTGGGGTCTCCAAAGCAATCCAGGCTTCATCGTCACAGCTTCACACAATGGCCTCTCTGGCCTCCACTCAGGGACACCCCTGACACGTGCCTGGCCTCAGCAGCTTTATTCCATAGCCCTTTCTTCTATCCTTGACTCAAGACAGAACCACACGACCGAAGCTGCCAAATTCTGCTGCTTGCTGGGGCTGGAACATGGCCCCTCCTTCAGTTACATCTTCACCAGCTTTCTGTCCTTCACTGCCTAAGCTTGGCTGTCCTGAAACTGGATCTCTAGACCAGGCTGGGCTCTAACTCAGAGATCCGCCAGCCTCTGCCTTCTGAGTGCTGGGATCAAAGGTGTGGGTCACCACCACACCAGGCTCTAAGTTTTTCTTTAGTTCCTTTTCACAAGTTGGAAACAGCTGGGTGGGATCTTACCCTCAGGTCACCGCTCCCTTTATTCCATTTCTTCATCCGTGTATCTCCTTGAACACAGAACTTAGCTCCATTCCACTTCCTGGTGCCCCTTTTCTCAATCTGTACATTTTGTATTTTTATTTGCTCAGCTTGCTGCTTTTCATTATAAATCTTCATTAGAGTTATCACCAATAACCACATGACAGAGTCTACTAGGTTGTTTTGAGATTTCCTTTGCCAGTGGAATTAATCCAAAGCCCTTCACGTTAGCCTCAGGCAGACTTCTCAGACAAAGGCAAAAAGCCGCCATGTTCTTCACCAAAATATCACAAGAATGATCTCTAGGCACATGTTAATATTCTTCTCCTTTGAAACCTCTTGAGCCAGGACCCCCGCCCCACAGTTTATTAAATCTGTCTCCCATGTTCCTACTGGTGTGGCCCATTAGGCAGCACTTAAAGCATTCCACTGCTTTTCTAATCCACAGTCCCCAGGTCCATATTACTCTAAACAAAAACATGGTCAGGCCTATCACAGCAATAGCCCAGTCCCTGGTACCAACTTCTGTCTCCGTTAGGGTTTCTACTGCTGTGAAGAGACACCATGACCCCAGCAACTCTTACAAAGGAAATTATTTAATTGGAGTGGTTTGCTTACAGTTCAGAGGTTCAGTCCATCACCATGGTGGGACATGGCAGCATGCAGGCAGACATGGTGCTGGAGAGGTAGCTGGGAGTCCTATGTCTTTCAGGGAACAGGAAGTGGTCTGTTTTACGGGATGTGGCTTGAGCACATATGGGATCTCAAAGTCCACCTCCACAGTGACACACTTCCTCAAACAAGGACCTGCCTCCTAATAGTACCATTCTCTTTGGGGGCTATTTTCTTTCAAACCACCACAGAAGGTCCTAGAACGAGGTGAAGTCTGCAAAATTAAAGTTGAGACGAGGGTGTCCCTGGGCTGAATGTGATTCTTGGCTCCTCTTTTGTCTCAGGGACAAGGATAACCACATGTCCTGTCTGAGAATCCTCAGGGGTCAGAAAGCTCCGATTGTGTCAGCGGTGAGAGGGCTTCAGAGGGCTGGTGAAGTGGTGATGCTCACTAGCGGGACTGTCTCTTGCTCTGATAACGGTACCTTTACAAGCCGAACACACGAATGGGCTGCTGGAGGCAGGGGTGAGCAGATGAGTGAACAATGTTCCCTCTCATCCTGGACTCAGCACCCAGTGGCTCATCCCCTGTCTCCCAGGATGTACGAGGAGGAAGGAGCAACAGCAACCGGTCCTAGACATGGCTACAGCCATGACTGCACAAGGCTGTGCAAAGTACCTGTGTCCACAGAGGCCTGCCCCACCCCTTTGGCAGAGGACGGTGTTGGTCAATGAGGTGGCCTCTGCCCAGCTGATTAGGACTGGTGAAGTCTGTGCCACGTGAGGGAGAGAAGGGGCATGGGCTCATTAGAGATATGGGTGTCCACCATCACATGTGACTTGCAGACAAGGTGACTTGCTCAGTGTTACCCAGTGCATGGGATTCAAGGGCCAGGAATCTTCCAGCTTTTTGTAGGAGAATGAGCATGTGGGAACGGCTCTTGGGCCACTCTGGCTATGGTTTGGATATGGGTATCATGGACTATTCACAGGCTTAGATACTAGCCCCCCCGGTGGTGTGAGGAGGCGGGGCCTTTGGGGATCATAAGTTCTTTATGAAAGGGAAAAAGCTTCAGAGAGCTCCGTTTACCTTTTGCCACGTGAGGTCAGAAGGAGAAGGCACCGTCTGTGAGGCAGGAAATGAGCCTTCAGCAGGCAGAACTGGCCGGAGCCCTTGGACTCCGCAGTTTTGGAATGTGTAAAATAGGACTTTCTGTTGTTATTAGACACCCACTGGGTGGCATCGTACTGTAGCCCACCAGAGTAAGATGCTTCTGGAGTCATTGCCTAAGGCCACAGGGGATAAGGTCCTGCATGCTGAGTGGCTGAAACAATAGAAACTGGTTCTATCATGTCTCTGAAGGCTGGAAGTCCAAAGGCAGGTTATCACCAGGTTCTTCCTAAGGATTCTAGAGAGAGGATCTGACACAAGATGCCTTGGCATGGAGATGGAGGCCTTTTCTTGACATCCCTCATCAACAGCGTCTGTTCAATTTTTCCATTTTCATGTCCATTTCAAAAAGGACACCAATTTACTGGCTTAGGGTCCCATCCCTGATCTCATTTAAGCTTAATTACCTCCTGATAACTCCTGTCTGGGCATATAGGCCCAGAGGAGAACCTAGCTTCAGCCTATGAGTGAGGTGCAGTTTACTCTGTAGCAGGCGCACGCGCAGTGGGCAGAGAGCAGGGAGATAGGTCCCCTGCTACCTTTTCTTTTTAAAGCTGCTTTGTTCTAGGATGGAAAGACCCAAGTTGAAGGCTCTTCAGAGCTTAGAAGGCATCAGAGCACCCCGCTCCTTCTGAGACCCTGGTTTCCTGCTGTGTGAAAAGGTGCTTTCACTGCCCTGAGGATGCATGCTCTCGTCCCAGTTCACAGGCATTTAAAAGTGAACAAGAAATCTTTTTCTGAGAGGCTCAGCTTCTCAGGGGAGTTGAGGTCACTCTCCCTCAGGGAGATGAGTCCACCAGCCAGCTCCTGGGTTCTGGTCCACAAGTTTCCAGCAGGTGCTTCCTCGCAGTATGCTTCTATGGGACAAAGGCAGAGCCACCAAGGCTGCCATCAGACCATTCTGGTAAGTGACCTGCAGAGCCCAGAAAGCCTGGGAGGGTGGTGAGCAGGGACCAGGGGTGCAATGACCCTCTTCTCAAAGCAGGGAGGAGAGTGTTTCCCAGCTGGCGGGGGCCCCAGGAGCAGTGGCCGTGGGAAGCAGACTGCTGTGGTCGTAAGCCATGGCCTGGACTTCCGTCCTGCTCATGCTGGTGGCCCACCTGACAGGTAAGGAATTCTTGGGGCCCAGAGCCTCCTGGCCCCTCCTCTTGCCCTGCTCTGCCCCGGTGATGGCCACGGTTCTGTCTTCTCAGGTTGTGGCCCTCAGCCCACGCTGTATCAGCCACCGTCTGCCTCTTCCTCGCTTGGAACCACCATCCGCCTCTCCTGTGCCCTGAGCAGCAACTATAACATCAACATTTACAGCATCTACTGGTACCAGCAGCATCCAGGCCACCCTCCCAGGTTCCTGCTGAGATATTTCTCACGCTCAGACAAGCACCAGGGTCCCAAGATACCCCCTCGCTTCTCCGGATCCAAAGATGTGGCCAGGAACCTGGGGTATCTGTGGATCTCTGAACTGCAGCCTGAGGACGAGGCTATGTATTATTGTGCCATGGGGCTCCGGAGCCAGGAAAAGGAGAACTGGATGGAGAGGGAGAGAGGAGGAGAAAAGTAGTTTACAGATTTAGAATCCCAGGCTCTGGAGGTGCCCTTTGCTTTGCTCAGTGAGGCTGGTATAGGAAGGAGGGGTAGAGCATTGGGGTTTCACAGAGCCAAGATGGAGCCATTCAGCTTTTCCATGTCTTGCAATGTTGCTGTGAGCCCCACTGGAGGCTGGATTATAGAATTAAAGCTCTTTTTCTGAGTTTGGCTTGGCTGGTTTGTGATTTCAGAACCAGTGTAATAACTGGCTAGTCCCCAGAACCTGACTAGTCACTCTCAGATTGGCCAGGCACCATGAACGGCATACTCATTATGATCATGGGTCAAGTGGATGACAGAAACATCTTGGAGGGGGACCTCCTTGCCAGGGACAGCGTCTTCTATTGTCACCCTCACAGTCACAGAGTAAAGTTTAGGAAACACCATCACTGGCCCTCTACTTCGGGGGAGAGCGGATGTCAAGTGCCAGGCTTAGAGCAGGTTCCCCTCCTTGGTACTAGTGATGTTGGGATGGGGCTGCCTTGTCACGGAGCTGCCTTGTGTTGTAGGTGCTGAGCAACTTCTCTGGCCTCTGCTACCAGATGCAGTACACAGCACATGACCCCACTGTGAGTGATGACAACCCCGGGTGGATCCAGATATCAGTAAAGGTCCCCGGGGTGAGCTACAGCTACCTTCTGTGCAGGGGAGTGATAGGCCAGCCAGCATTTTCTCAAAGGCCGGATTGTTATCAGCCTTGAGTTGTGGACCATACTGACTGCTGAAATACCCAGCTCTATCTTTGGAGCAAAGCAGCAGCCTCAGCAATGGGTGAATGACCAGTGCGGCTGCCGGCAAAGCTAACTGAGAGGAACAGGCTGGGCAGGGCAGGATGTGGTCCTCACCAGCTCCTGCCGGGGTTTCAGCAATCCCTGCTTGGGGTGTCATTGGGGCCTCCTCAGCTTTTGGGTTCTGAATCATGGCCTGTGGAGAGACCTTGAAATATGAGGTGCATGGTCCACTGAAGCCACACTAGCCTTGCTGGCTGCAGAGGGCTGGAAGAGTCCTGGCCACAGTGTGGTGCCTGGAACTTCAGGGAGGCAGTCTAGAATGTGCCCTAAGAGTGAGAGTCTGTATGTGAGGTGTCTGTACCGTATGGACATGCTTTGCCTCAGGGAGGTGCTGGCAAATGGTGTCCTTTGTGGCTTCAGACATGGTTGAGAACACCTGTTTACCACTGCTATATGATCCCAAGGGTCCCCTCCTGAGAAGTGCCTCCTGAGGCCCATGACTCTCTCGATCTGTGAAACAATGGCCTCGGCTTATGCCATGCTCTGGCACCCTCTGGCTTCCATGCCCTCAGATCACACAAGTTCTTTGCATGTGGCCTTCGCCCTGTGGAAAGGATTCTGGGAGCACGGTTTTCAAGGACAGTTAGTGGTCTTCCGCTCTTGTTTTTCACCATCTGAGGTTCTGGCTGTAACAAGGAATCCAGGCAGCAGGAGAGGCTTGGCCTCTTCCACCCTCTGGTTCCTCCTATCCCACCAGCTCCAAGGAAGATGAGACCTTAGAGCTGGCTTGCCACAGCAAAGACCTACCTGTGTCTGGCCTGAAGCCCAATGCTTCCTTTATATGGAAAGGGAAACATTTTAATTTATTATTACTTAATCATGTTTGTGTGTGAGGTCAGAGGACAGCTTGAGGGAGTCATTTCTTTTCCCATCATGTGTGCCTAGGGATCAAACCCAGGGCCTAAGACTTGGTTGGCAGCAAGCACCTTCACCTGCTGAGCTGAACCCTCTTGACGGCCTAACACTGACGAATTTACGTGAACTGCGTAACTAGCTTTGCCTGTCATGGGTGTGGCCTGTCCTTCCTTCATGTCCGGTAATTATCTACCTTTGATCTGAGTTGTTTCTCTCCCAGCCTCCCCTGGGCTTCCTACCCCTCCGTAGCCTTGCCTCGTCCTCTGTCCTAACCGTCCGTTTGTCCAGACTCACTTCCCTTCACCTGCTGACTGCTTCCTATATTCTAAGGCACCAGGCAAGCCATAGCCGAAGTCCCCAGCTTCTGGTGGCTACATTCAAATACAGTGACCGTGTATGCTGGCATGAGTATATAGTCCCGGAGGTCGAGGTTAGCCTGGGCAGCACAGTGAGATTCCCTCATCTGAGTCCTGACTCAGAAAGGTGGAGCTTTTCCTTTTTTTATTCTTTTCTGTCTCTTTCTTTGGAATGTGGGCCAGAATGCAAATACTTTCTCCGGCACTTTTTTGCTGGGTGGCTGTTTGCTGACACTCCATACCTAACTGGAAAGGGTTTTCTCTCTCTTCTCTACCTCCCTTCCTCTTTTGGGTAGCTGCTGATACTTTCAGCCTGCCTACCCTGTTGTTTTTCTTTTAAATGTTAATAAAATTATCCTTAAGCATAAAAACAAAAGTTTAAAAAAGGTGAAATGATTTCTAATGATACATTTGATTTGACACAACATGTCCCAAATATAATCATTTTAATGAGCAGCCAATATCACAGGCACGTATGAGCATTGTTTTTTCTTTGGTACTCCATCTTTGAAATCCGGTATGTATTTTACAGTTGTGGTTTATCTCAGCTCAGACCCCCAGCAACTGCATATGGTGTATGAGAAGACCACAGATTGGAGGGACAGAATTCAGGTTCCTCATCATCCAGCCTTCGGAGGCTGGTCAGAGCCTGTGCTGAAAGTCCTGTCCCTTCCAGCTGCGCGGTCCATTTCTGCCCTGTTCAGCTAACTGCCGCTGATCAGATGCCTGGTGCGCTTGGTCGCCTCCAAACCTCCGCTCAAGCTGTTCACACTGGGAGGGTTTCCTGTCGCTGGACTGTGTCCACCCTCTGCACGGATGCAAGGCTCCCCGGCAATCTCACCTCCCCCCTCCTTAGGCAACCGTTTCCTGGCCGCTCTGCAGTTGTTTCCTCCCTCCAGTGGGCAGACAGCCCGTTTTCCTAGTTACAGTTAGCACCTGCCTCACAGCTCTGGCTTTATTTAGCAAGACTCTTACCCTAGACTGCAAATTCCCAGCTGGCTGGAGTCTCTGTGTGTGATAAACACTCTAGGTGGTAAGACAGGCGGGAATGAGTGATGAATGTACGAGCGAGGGAATTCTTGGCTACTCTCATTAGGATCTCACTGGGACCCCACAGTGGCTGGGGTCACTGTGATTCCCTGAGACTGGGGAGAAGCAGCCCAGATTTACATTCACTCTCTCACTGTCTGTACATTTGTCTCTCTGTTGTTGTTTCCGTCTGTCACATTACCATCCTCTGATATCCGACAAATGAAACAAGTGACCGAATGCTGTAACCAAGAGGGGCCTGGAAAAGGAAAGCTTGAGGGAGGCGAATGTGCAGAAGGAACGCAGGGAACCTTCTGAGCCCGAGCCAGAGAGCGGGTGGGGAGGGCGGGGCTCCCGGGGTTCCCAGAGTGTCAGGACACACCACCCAGTACTGCAGAGACTTCAGGATCTCTGCTTCAGGATCAAGAGGACTCCTGACAGGCGTGTGGAACCAGGCTGTGGGTTCTAAAATGTGAGCTATGCACACACCTTCCAAATTCAACAGGAAACAGAACCAAATGAGCGGACATGTTACCAGTGACTCAAACATGAGACCCTGGGGGAAGGGATCTGAGGAGCCCCTGGGGGTCTTACAGGGTGGCACTTAGGATTAAAAGGGTCCAGAAGGGCAGTGCAGCCGTGGTGTCTGGGTCGGTAAGTGAGCTAGGAGAGGGGCCTGTGGGGAGGAAGAGTGTGGAATCAGCACACGGGACACCAGGACACAGGCCCTTCCATTCTAAGATGCGTCTTTGTGACAGACACTCACTGTCCAACCCGCTTGTTCATTTTACCGTTCTTCTTTCACGGGTTAATTAAAAACCGCTACAGAGAACCTTCCAGGGCCAGGAAGACAGCCCACTGGCTGCAGCAGTTTTTATACAAGCGTGGGACCTGAGTTTGGCCCCCGCAACACAGGTAAAAGCCGGGCACAGCAGCTCACACCTGTGATCCCAGGGCTCCTACGGGAGCTGGGAGGTCCAGACAGGACAACCCTTAGACGTTCTCAGGCCAGCCAGCCTGGCGTCTAAAGCAGCTAGCAAGAAAGAGATGAAGAACCAACACCTGAGGTTGACCTCTGACCTTCACGTGCATGCAGCGGCATGTGCACACCCACACTCACACACGCAAAGGGGCTTGTGAGTACACACATAGGTGCACACACATAATACATGTGCATCATAAAAACACGAAGAAAAAAAAACAGAAAAAAGAACTTCCTCCAAACTGAGAGCATGGCGGTGCACTGCTGCACCCCGGCCCCCTGGAGAACAAGGCGGGAATCCAAGGCCAACCTGAGCTACCTAGTGTGAGACCCCGTTTCAAAGAAAACACCCAAACCTGTACGACAAACTCTCCTTAGCCACTTTGAGGGACCATTTGAATAGTCGAGGCAGGCTGAGCATTGCATCCTCCTGCTCGCGCATCAACCATTATAAAGAGCAGTGAGTACATGAACTGAAGACATGGTTGTCCACAGTCTGCCTGAAGGGAAGGTTTTTATTAGAGATCTGAGGGAGTACGGGCAGAGGCGTCTGGAACGGTCCAGAGCAGAGGGGAAGGTGGTAGACTGAGAATGGCCAGCGTACTGGGTCGTGGTGGGGGATGGGGAGGGGAGAGAGAGAGAGAGAGAGAGAGAGAGAGAGAGAGAGAGAGAGAGAGAGAGAGAGAGAGAGAGAGAGCAAAGGAGCCCAAGAGTGAGGGCAGGAGAGGAAGACAGGAGAGACAGCGTGGCAGAGATAACTGGCTACAAGGGACTGAGAAGCTCGGGAGGGAAGCCCACCAGCGGGAGACGTTTGGGGTACCGGGTGGGGTGAGAGCTGAGAGGAGCCACCTGCTTAGGGCAGCTGGCTCTGTGGTGCTTGTTAGCACACCCCAGTGCATGCCGGCCTCCGGGCTCACTCAGCCTCTGAGTTTCTTTTGGACCTGACAATGATAAGGAAATGCCTGGGTATTTTCCTCTCCTTAGCAACAGACTCAGGAGAAAAGTAAAAGTGGGTATGTTTCATGATTTTAAGAGATATAATTGAATGAAAGACCCCTGCATTGATTACACATTAGTAAGGACAAAGCCACGCAGAATCCATGAAAAAATAAAGTGGGAAAGGCTGCCGAGCCAGCGCCCACAGCCTAGG